GGGTAAACACTTTATGTGTATTAGATGTGAGCCTTCGACCTTGACAAAGATTGGAAATTTGAACAGTGATGAGACAACAATGATGAGTAAACTCATTGTAAAATGTAGATCATACGAGTGCGAAGAGTTTGGACCTTATTACAAAATGTTGACTCATTTAGTCGATTGTAAAAGTGACCATTATAAAGTGATCTCATTGTTGAATTACTTCTTCTTTCTAAAGAAAGAGATGGAAAGAGAAGGAAATGAAATTCAGAAATTGGAATCAGTGAAACATCTATTCGAAAACAAGAAGAGTTTGCTGATGCTTTTGATAATAGATTGATGATTCAAAATGTCGAAGCCTTTATTCCGAAATGTGGTTTTACCGCTGAGAAAAGAATCATCGATCCAGATAATCCAAATAACAACAAGATTATCAAAATTGGATTAGTATCAGAGGAAATGCCATCAACGTCCCGTTGTAGTGATAGAGCTCCTCTATCAGCAACAAACCGAACGGAAGGAGTTGAAGTTTTATATGCTTCAAGTGATCAATTAATTTATTCGGACTTCGATGAAAAGAGTGGATCAAGTCAAGAGAAACAATCAAGTCAAGAAATCATGGAAATTGACGAGACCACCAAAGAAAAAGAAAAAGAAACAAGTTCAGTGAGAAGTGTAATTGTGATTCCACCAACAATAAGTGAAAAAGATGACTTCTCACCATCAGCCGTTGCCGCTCGTATGGCAACAACTGGAAGATTGATTGATTTGGAAGATGGAGCTACTCCATCTTCATCATCATACATCGACTATTCCTTTGTGAATCCTGAAATCAAATTGGAATTAGATCCAAAATTAAGACCAATTAGATCAAAAGAGAAAATTAAAATTTCAGAGGAAGAGATCAGAGCTGATAAAAGTCTTACACCCAAGCAAAGAAAACAAAGAATTAGAAATCGTAGACAACAAGAGAAAAGAACAAAAGAAGGAAAATTGCGTGGACAAGATATTAGAAGAAATGAATTAACAGAAAAGTTTTTGAGAGAAAATTCAAATAAACACAATGTCTTTAACATGAGAGACAACATCCACCGACAACGAATCTTCATGAATTGGAAGAAACTGAATGATGAAGGAGTTAAAGTGTGTTCAATGGACGTGGAAAAGTGTATTGTTAAAACGCTCAAAGGTAACCAAGCATTACCTATTTGGATTTCAATTTTGGACTCTCAAGCAAATATTGTCTACAATTCGCTCGTACGTTATCCAAAAGACTCAATCTTCGACATGAATACAATGTTTCATGGAGTCGAATACAAAGTAACTCAAGGATGTAAACCGTGGGAAGTGATTCGAAAAGAAATAATCAAAATACTTGTTCGATATGATCGTATCATAATGGCATCAGGTCATACTGATTTTGTGTCATTGGGTTTCGACTTACACGACTGGTCGATTATACAACCAAAGATACGAGATGTAAATTGTTATTATAACTGTAAAGATAACGTTGAACAATTATCATTGCGATTTATAACCTTTGCGTTATTTGGAATCGTAATTCAAGAAGGATGTCATTCACCTTTTGTGGATGCTGGTTTTACGTTATTGGCCTACCTAATCGACTATGAAGAGTTCGAAGAAAGTTATAATATGTGTCAAAATGATGTTCAATTCATGAACCCATTACCGAGAATCAAATATCCGATCAATTCACAAATGGCCCGATTGATAGCAAATATCATGGAAATTCTTGGAGATTGGCCGTATCAATTGAGAAAACCGGTAATGAGAGGATGGAGAATGACTCCATCCTTCAATGAAGATCAATTATGCGAGTTCCAAAGTGTTCAACTCAGACCACCTTATTCAGATATACAAATGGAACGATTTTACAAATTCAAAGGAAACATTAATAAACCAATAATTCTAAAAAGAAATTGGAAAGATACTCAATATTTGGGACAAAGGCATCCAAACACGGAAACAAGGAGACATTTGGACCAAGAATAATTAACACCAGAAGGAGTCAATTCCACTTAGTCCATTTTCGAACCCCATATTTCCGTCAAGAAAGGGGCTCTGTAAGGGGATTAGCCTTTGTTATTTGTAATTATGAAATCATCCCTCAATAATTAGATCAGCTGATACAATTGAATACCTTAAATAGTCACCAGCTTGAGAAACTCAAGCTAGTGTTCTTAGTGTCTTTAGTGTTCTATTGTTAAGATCAAATTAATTCCCTTTAAAATACTTTAATTAACTACCTCAGATGAACTAACCCTAATCACCCTTTAACCTTTTTCAAATAAGTTACCCTTCAATAAAATTAACCGTCAATTGTGATACCTTTGAAAGTTCTGATAATTTCAGTGTTTAATAAAATTCAATTCACTCGATACGATCTTACTTGTGTCCTTATATTCCCTAACAATTAATAATACAATTTAACTGATTTCTAGTTGTTTTTTTATATTGCTAATCATTTGGTGTTAATTGTTTTAATATTGAATATTTTTTCCTATTTAGTTAATTGTCCTAAAACAATGTAACAACATGATGGTGATGATCAACTTGAAACAACAATTAACTTAATCACACAATAATATTAACATTGTTTCCCCTTAATCATCACATGATAATCATAATAATTGACAATAATAATAATAATGGTACAAGAAAAATTAAATTGTTACCTGATTAGGTTGATCAATTAATTGTAATCAGATTAATTGCTCATCATAATCTTTCATACAATTAACATTGATCAATTAGATTTAACCGGAACTAATAATAATTAGTAACAATTAATGGTATAAAAGGAAAAGTATATAAAATTAATAACAATTAACCTTTTAATTGTAAGTGCAAATTGAAACAAAATGGTAACAATTAAGTGTCTCCTGCATCTGTGAAAAAAAATGTAATTAAACTAATCACAATTAAAGATCAAATGTTTTTTTACCTAAATAATAATCGTAATTAAAACAATTGAATTGTCAATCAATTAAACTTATTAAATTGACAATTAACATGAGAATAGATAATCAAGTTAATCATAATTAAAGTGAAACTTAATCAATAATAAACAATTAAAACAATTTAAGAAAATCTAAACGTTAACAATTAACTAATTGTTAAATTATCACCAAAGGTGTTTACAATTAACTCGATTTACTATTTAAATAAGAAACAATTTAATTTACCTGAACATTTCAATGAAATGATTAAATTGTTAGACAATAATTAATTAACAGTAATAAACATAGAGACAGACAAACAATGATTACCTTAATTGTTATTGTGATTAGTTTAATTGTACAATAAAGTCAAGGATGAAACTGAAAATTAAACTAATAAAAGTACAACAATCAGTGAGAGTTAAAGGTTAATTGACTTACAATTTAAATTAACTGATTGTAATTGTATCATGATTTGATTATCTTAATTCATTAATTATTATCACAATTAATAAATTATAATTTGCCTCTAAAATTTTCAACAATTTACTTTAAGCTCATGTGATTATCTCAAGTGGATTACATTTAATTGTAATAGATTTGATTATCTTCCTCTTGATCATCATCATCATCATCATCTTTCTGTTGATATTTGTTGATTAACTAATTGATAACAATTAACAATAATAATCAACATCATATGTTGACCTTTGGTAAGTTCAATTATCAAGTAAATAATAAATACTAATAATCATTTACAATACAATTAACTAAATCAGTGTAATAATAATACACCAATTGTGATTAACCAAACCTAAAATTTAATCACAATCAAGATTAAATCAAAAGTTAGATACAATTAATTTAATTTCTGTGTTGATTATAAACATTGATTTAGTTAGGAAATTATTATCATGATGATTTAGACTTAATTTGATTCATCTTATTACTTAATAATAATAATATTAGTTAATCATTGATTGTTCATAATTTAGATCAAGGGCAAGGTTGATTTTCATGTTTTCTGTAATAATAATCAGCAAACAATTAAACCTAATCAACAATTAACATGTAAGAGAACAAAATTAATGATTAATTTAATTTCTCTAAATTTTGTTTACTTTTTTTCTTCATAACAATTAGTTGATTGTGTTAATCAATCATCCAATAGATAATATGATAATCAACATGATCATCTAATCAACTATTCAGAAGGAGTAAGAGTTAATTGTTGCCGTTTATAAACAATTAGATTAGTATATTAGCTTTTCCAATGTTTTCGTAACAATTAATTGCAAAGACAATTTAGTTTAATGTTGTTAAGTTCAAGAGGCTAAATTTTGTTATATTGATTCAAATGTTTTCTAGTAATAAGTGTGTGTGTGTCTTTGATGTTAATTGTTAAAAGTTTGATTACGTTAATTAACTAACGATATAATACTAACGTCAACAATTTTAATTGTTGGATATAAATTATATTGGAAATATCAGAATAAAACAAAAACTAAATACCAAAAGAATCAATTGTTTGATCAGCTTTGATTTTCTTCATCAAATGTGTAAGTTGAAATTAATTGTGAGTATGTACACTAATTAATTAACTATCTGGTGGGGATCACTCAAATTGCGATTTTGATTTGGATAGACAGTTAACAATTAACGTAATCAGAAAGGTATAACAATTAAAACAACAACAATAATAATAACAGAAACACCTTTGGTATCTCTCAATTTACAAACATTAACTTTAGTATTTAATACAACCGTTAATTGACTGATTAATTGATTTGGTTGGAAAATCATAATTTAAACCATAAATTCACACAATTAATAATATTAAATCGCTTTCCTTGGAATAGTAAAGATAAATGAAAATCTGTTGGAGGAAAAAAAAAGAAACTGATTAGTTGAGATTGAGAAATTATATTGATGATGATCCTGTTGATTATCATTTGTATTATAATTGTCGTTAATGTGAAAGGTAAAAAACAAAGAGTAAAATGATTTATAGCTAATTAATTAATTGTTTAGGGGAAAAGTTGTCATTTAGAGTAACTTTTTCTCTTTCTCTCTCTCTCGGTTTATATGTTATATTTCCTTGGAATTGGAAGCAAAACAAAGTGAGAGGGAGAAAATTGAAAAAAGTTCTAACCTGAAAACGTATAATCTTTGAAAGAAAGAAAAAAGCTGAGATCATCTTCATTCATCACCATGGAATAAATGATGAAAAAAGATAAAGGATGAGGAAGAAAAAGGTTAATATGTGTACGAGCCAACAAACATTCCGAATGAACATTATCCAAGTGAGAGAGAGAGAGAGAGAGTTGATGATTTGATTATTTGCTCTTTTTTTCTGGTTAACTTTTGGTTTTTTGATGATGACGATAATGAGAAGAATGGTAATGATGATTGTCCTTGAATATCAGGGGAAATTCAGAATTTGATTGAAGAAAAATAAAACAAAGATGAGGCTCCATTTAGGTTTTTGATTGCTGGTGATCTATTGACATTTCCAATTAAATGATGATAATGATGATTATCATGTTTGATGTATTACTGAAAGGATAGAGATGATCAAAAGTAATTAATACATAAATCAAATGAAAAGTCCGTTGGTTGTTTACCTTTTCCATAAATGCGAGGGAAAAAAAACTCGGAGAAAATGATGAGAAAAAAAGCCAAAATGGCGACTAATCAAAGAAGAAAAGATAATTAAAAAGAGAAAAAGATAAAAATTAGTAGACATAAATATTGTCGCCAAATGGATCAACAATCTTCTCGATTACTCATCATCTTGTGGATTATCAGCCATCATCCAAATGATTACGGTTGTTAGATATTAACCGATGGGAGGGATGATTTAATTTTCTGTTGATTAACTCATGATGGTGAGAAAGTGGATTAGATTATGATGATGAGAGAAAAACTGATGAATCATTTTAAATTTCTCCATTTGGATCAACAAGTTTCAATCATTTTTCTCTCTCAATTCTAATGACCAGTAAATGGTCAGTTTTGAGGTTAATTATAATCTATTTAATAGATATTAGGATAATTACCATTTCTTTTTTTGATTCCCTTGATTAGCTTTCTCTATGTTGGTGGTGATATATGAGAGAGGAAAATTCTCACACTTTTGTTACTTTTTCTCTCTTCATGTTTATCACTTTCTTTGTCTTTATTTTTCATCTTCTTGTTGACTGGTTTGGGCTTTTCCATCGTCATCTTCATCCTAATCCACTTCCGTAGAAATATTTGTCTTCTTATTAGAATGAAAATGATATTAGAGAGAAAATCCACCCACGAATGATAGATAATTTTAGGGAGAGTTAGAGAGAGAGAGAGAGAGAGAGAGAGAGAGAGAGGAAGAGAAAGGAAGAAGATATGATTTTGAATGATTCATAATTTGCAGTAATTTAGTAAACAGCAAAGTCCATCATCATCAAACCACCAATTCCAACCTTTCTCACACTCAAGTTAACATAATAAAGTCACACAATTGCCATCAAAGTGGGTAAACAATCACTAGAGAGTCAGGGAGATGATGAAGAGAAGAGGAAGAGGGAGAGAGTGAGAAGAAAAAACCACCGCATCATCGTCATCATCTTTCTCAAGTGTATATTACCACGGTCACCATCACCACCTTATTCCTATTTCCAGCAGAAAATATCACCATCACCACCAACGAAGACGTGAAAACGACTAATAGACACATCGATGGGATGAAAAAATTTCCACCAACTAAGAGTGTAAATGATTCATTTATTGCTCTTTCAATGACATTTAACCAAATTGCATTAAACTAGAGAGAAAGAGAGAGAGAGAAATAAAAAATAGAAAATGATTATCATGTTTCAGAGTTACTATTACCATTTGTTTCCACCACCATTTTATTATTAATGAATAAAATGTCCTCATATGAAAGGCACCAAGTCAAGAGTGGGAAGAGGAGAGAGAGAGAGAGAGATGTTGGTTCCAATGTGAAAGTTGTACCACAGGGGCAAATGTTTTAACAAATTGAACTTTTTCCTCTCCCTCTCTAACCGAACCACCCACTCACATAATCACCATCAACTACCACCAACTATCAAAATCTCTCTCTCTCTCTCTCTCTCTCTCTCTCTCTCTCTACCATTTGATGACAAAGATGATGTTGGGATAATAATCACACAGCGTCAATAGTGGTAATAAGATCATATAAACAGTCATAGAGTTTGTAATAAATACTATTACTCCCTCGTGGATAAACTGGAAATCGTTGAAATACCAAACGCATCACCTTCCACATATAAAAGAGAGAGAGAGAGAGAAAAATAATATTTCCGGTCAAAAAAAAAACAAGAAGAAGAAGAAAAAAAAACCAAAATGAAGACGAAAATGAAGAAGAGGATAAAAAGAGATTCCAAATAACCCCCACACATCAAGAGAAAAGGAAAATAATGGAAAAAGAGAAAAAAAACTTGCGATGTAAACTTCTAAAGTCTAAATCCACCCCGAGGGCATTTAGGCTGAAGAAAAAAAAGAGAGAAAGAAAGAAAGAAAGTAAATGGATGATGATAAGGATGCGAAGAGAAACAAAATAGAAATGTAAACACAAGAAAAGAAGAAAAAAAATCCCGCCTAAAGTGGAGAATTAAAATTGGCGCCCAATCGAAATGAAATTTATTCTTTTCTCGTGTAGATGGAGCCAGCGAAATAGAATATGAATAAAAGGAAAGAGTCGCTGCCATTTTAAAGCTTTAGAGAGAAAGAGAGAGAGAGTCAACATCGAGTAAATAAGCAAAATCTTTTTTTTAATACAAGTAATTTTCATCCTTCTCTTCATCATCAACACACAAGTTCTACTATTTAGTACTCACTCTGTCTTTTTTTTTCATCTTCTTTCCTTCGTCTTCATTCTCTCATTATCATCAACAACCTCACCATTATATTTTACTACAACATCTCTACTACAACAACAAACATCAGTTTTCTTCTTCTCTGTTCTTCAAGTCAAAATCCGGGTTTTTCTACGAAGGAAAACATTACATTTTCAGAGAAGGATATTTTTCTCTTTCTCTCTCTCTCTTGTTCGAAATTATCTTTAATACATATTTTCTTCTATTTTGGAGAAGAAATAAAATTCATTCTTTTTTTCCTTTTGATATTTTATTTGTGTACCAAATTATCAACAATCAAAACATCAACTATAATTGTGTCTGTCTCCCTCTCTTCTGATCGTGTGTGTTGAATCTAAAAAGAATAGAATTTGGATTTCAATTCTTATTCTCTCTTCAATCATTCACTTCTCTTACCATTGAGAGTCAAAAGGAAAATATATATTAACCTCTATCATTTTCAATTTCTCTCTCTCTCTCTATCTTCACTGTTTAATTACTGTTTAAATTATTGTTTTTATTATAAATTTTCATCATCACCATCATTCATCTGATACAATAATTATTAATCGTTTTTCGATATAATTGGTTGAATACAACTTACTCTTATTTCCATTATCAAGCGAAAAACATTTATATTATCAAAACATCTTATTCTCCTTGTGTGTTTGCTGATATTCTTGCCTTAATATGATGTTTTATATTATTCACTGTGTTCATACTCCTTGGATAAGTTTTCTACATTAAAGAAAAAAAAACGAGGTCGGTTGTGAGTTTCATTATTTTTCATGTTAATCAATTTTTCTCATTTGATTATTTCACTATTATAAATATTTTATATATATAATATTTGATCATTTGTGTACTAATCTTGTTTTTATATCTCTTTCTCTTTCTATCTTTTCACAGCAGTGAACCATTTGGATTAATTGGATTATCTCTCTTTTCATTTATCTTCTCTGTTTTATTATTTATTCTCTTCTAATTCTTCATCATTGAAAAATTCAACATTTTCACTCATCAACTAAAACGTAATCATCATCATCATCACCATCATCTCTCTAACTATTATTTAATCCTTCATCAAACGTCATCATCATCATCGAACTAAAAAATCAACAACATTCTCTCAACATTGATAACTCAGTGAACTATTAATTATAACCATCGATCGCTATCCCGTTTTCCTTCACATCTTTATCAACTTTTTACTATTTAATCTCTCTTCTTGTTTTCTCATCTATTCATCATTAATAACCACAATTTCAAATCTTTAATCACAATGGATCCTCACCATGAACCATTTGAAAAATCTTACAAAGTCGGTCCACTTTTGGGTAAAGGAGGTTTTGGTACCGTTTTTGCCGCGTTAAGGGCTCGTGATGGTCTTCCTGTAGCTGTAAAGCATATATTTAAAGAGAAAATTGTCGGCTGGGATAATAGTGGACCAAATAGAATTCCTATGGAAATAAGTTTGCTTAAAAAGGTTAACCATCTAAGTGGAGTGATTCGTATAATTGACTTTTATGAAAGATCAGATTCTTTTATCATAATCATGGAAAGACCAGAATCAGCAATGGATTTATTTGACTTTATAAGTGAAAAGGGTGTACTTGATGAGAAATTGTCCCGTGTATTTTTCCACCAAGTAGTTGAAACAGTTATCTCATGCCATAAGGCTGGAGTAATTCACCGTGACATCAAAGATGAAAATATTCTCGTCGATTTGGACACTTTAAAACTTAAATTAATCGATTTTGGTTCAGGTGCACACATGAAGGAAGGTTATTATACCGATTTTGAGGGTACCCGAGTTTACAGTCCACCCGAATGGATTAAATCAAATAAATATAAGGGTAAATCAGCAACCGTCTGGTCCCTTGGAGTACTTTTATATGATATGGTGTGTGGTGACATTCCCTTTGAAAAAGATGAACAAATTTTAAAAGGTGAAATAAGGTTTCCCCGACGTTTATCCCGTGAATGCCAGGATTTAATTATAAGGTGTTTATCCAAAACTCCAATGTACCGTCCATCCTTAGACGAGATTTTAAAGCATCCCTGGATGAGTGTAGACCTTGACGGTTGCACCACCGTGTCCACAACAATTCCAGTAACTGGTGGTAACACAAGGCGTTCCCAAGTACTGACAACAACGATAGACGATTCAGACTCAACAAGCGGAGAATCACCACCAAGTAGTCAATGTAGTATTTGACCACGCTTATTGTTGTAGATACCTCACCCTTAAATCTTTAAATTGTACCTTATTAATTTATCGCATTTGTACAAAGTCTCTCTCTCTTTCTGCTCTTTCTCTCCATCTCCCTTTCTTTATCTTTCTCATTTGAAAAAGCAAGAAAACATCTCTTCCATTTTTCATCTTCACCAAAAAATCAACTCATACCACACACATACTACATCCAACACCTTACATTGTAAATACACACACATACACACCACAATACACATCTACATCAACATCCACACACACACACACACACACACATACAACATAAATCACATTTCACATTTCACATTAAAAACAATAACATATGCAAATTTTACGTTATCTTGATTTGTTTATTTTTCTTCGGCTTTTTTAATGAATGAAAATTTGTTTGCAGCTTCAATGGAAAAGTGTTTTGTTAAAAGTACACATATGATCTTAAAGAGAAAATCTCTAAATTCTGATATAAATATACATTCATATTCTAGGGTATTATATGAGAATGTGTATCTTTCTCTTTCTTTTTCTCTGTCTCCTTTTCTAACCGGGAAACAGACGATCGATGAGAAACCTCCAGACAGAATAGAACACGCAAAAGCAAAAGAGAATAGAAGAAAAAAAAGATATTTTCCAAAAAGAAGAGGGAAAATTTAGAGAAAGAGAAAATAATAGAAAAGACTTTTCTCTTTCTTTCTCTCTTACAGCGATGATGATGATGATCAGACTGCATCATTATGAGAGAGAGAGAGAGAGTTTATCGATCAGTTCCTCTGAGAAGGAGTGAGCTTTGAGTAGAGAGAAAATATTGAAAGAATAAAAGAGAGAGAGAGAAAGGGAAAGCCTATGGAAATATAATCAGTAGAAGATGAAGAAGGAGGAGGAAAAAGGAGCATGATGATGGTAGAGAGAGAGAGAGAGAGAGAGGAAAATGTTCCAGGAGACAGAATAACCTTGGAAGAGGTTGATAAAGTGGAAAAAGAAAGAGAAATGAAAGAGAAGCTGTTAGTCGAAAATTATCATCTTGTTCTTTTCTCTTTTTCTACTTCGACATGAGCCTTCGTAAGGTCATTCAACTTGTTCAAAAAAAGAGTGTAGAACTTGAAGAAAAGAGAGAGAAAGATGAAGATGAAGATGAAGAAAGAGAGAAAAAGAAAGAGCTAAAAAAGGGAAGGCGGGTTTTTCTCTCTCTCTCCTTCAGACTCATGGTTCCTTCGTTGAGCTTTTCCTTGTACCCAAATAGAAATCTTATTGAACCTTGAAGAGAGAAAGAGAGAAAGATAGAGAATCAAGATGATAATAGATAATCATTTATGAAGAGAAATCAATTTCATCGTCTGGTCAAAATGAAGAATCCATGAAAAAAGAGGCGGGAAAAAGTAAATTTTCGAAACAAACAATGGATATTGATTTACTTTCTCTCCAACAATCAGACCAACAATTAACTATCAACATCCATCGGCAGCTGCCTTGCAACGGGAATTAAAGTTATACATTTTTTCGGACGCTAAAAATGCTAAACGGGCTTTGACCTCAAGCGAACAACAACACATTGGACTTGTCTCTTATTCTCTTCTTTCATCTTCATCTTTACCATTTCCTTTTCTTCTGTTTTCCTCACACACAAGGACCTAAATAAGGTAAGACTTTTGACCCAAGGTCAAAGAGAAAGAAAGAAAAAAGGTCATCTTTTGTTATCGAAAAAGGGGACACAAAGAGAGAGAGAGAGAGAGAGAGAGACATAAGAAAGTAAAGATTGGGTTATTTACTTGGTTCTCTCTTTTGAAAAGGAAACTGTTTTTAGGGAGCGTTTATCATCATCATCATCTCCATCCTCATCTCTTGATCAACTTCCTTTCGACTCAATAACCTCGACTAGAGAGACAGAGAGACAGACAGAGAGATCACCTGTCCTTTACCCTCTTCGTCCTCCTCCGCCAAAGCTGAAAGGTAACTCAATAAGTGGAGGAGAAATGCTGATAAAAATTAAGTTAATTACCAAAAGTTAAGTAAATTGTTGCCTATTAAAAATGATGAATAAACAAAAACGGCACAGAGACTCAAATACTATCAGTTGCTGGTGGTCATTTATAATGACCAATATATTATATGGTCATCAACGAACCAGCTCAAAGCAAAAGGTCAACTTACTAGTCCACCGGTCAAACATTGTTATTATTATGATTGTTGATGTTGTTGTTGTTGTTATTTGTTGACCACCATTGACTTGGAAAGTTCAATGTAACTTTGTCCCTTGATGTCCGAGGTCATTTGAACGATCACCAACCCCCAGCGGACATTTTTACCTTCGTTGGTGTATTAGTAACAGTTGGTCAGAAAATGACACACACACACAACAACAACAACAACAGACACAATGATACATTGATACACAGGTAAAAGCGTCAAGAAAAAAGCTCACTGACCTCTTACCTTTTCTTACTCTTGACCAATGATTGGCACGCGCAGATTTTTGTGCAACTTTAACCTTTCATCTTTGCATCTTCAACGAAAACCACTCACCAGGTAAGCAAGACTCAGGTTGTTAACATCTGCTCACCATTAACTACGATCCATTATTATCATCATATTTATCATCTTTCATCATCTTTTCATCATCGAGCAGATTGAACATCAAGGGAAATAAAGGTTGGTACTGTTTATGTTTGGTCAACACGCGATAAACACGCGTTACCATATTCCTTTTAATTCCTACCTTTGCAATTTTTTTTTCTCTTTTTCTTTTCATCCTCATCTTCCTCCACCACCTCATCCTTATCATCATAATTATCTTCCAGGTATATAACCTACTTGAAGAGGAAGAGAAAAAGAATCCGCTGCGTAGTAAACTAAAGGCCTTTTCTCAAGGTCCAAACTTTTTTTTTCGAAAATTTTTCTTTCGATTTTCCTACAATTCATCATGAAGATAATCAAAATAATACACTAATCATGTTGATTAACAATCAACCATGATAATTATCATTAATTGTGATTCTATTTGCACCTAACTGTGAAAATGAATGAAATGATTTGTTGGTGAAAATTTTTGTTAACTTTTAATTTTGATTGTCTTGTTTTTTTTTGTCATACAAATAAAAAACACTAATTACTTTTAATAAGAAAATCTAACTAATCAACTTTGATTGATAGTCCATTTGGTCAGTTGATTAAATATTATTGTCTTGTGATGATTAAGTTAATGAGGACAAATAAACTTGAAACTGAATGGACAACACTTGACAATCATTGTTATCAATTACAATTGAATTTATCGTATTTAATTAATCTTGTTGATCTACTTCCTGTAAGATTTATTAACTTAATCTTATAATCACTTGAAAACTTTTAATCAGTAGATTAAGTTGATAATGATCAAAATAAAAAGGTTAAAGGTGATTTGACAATAACAAGAGAAAGAGAGATGAAAATGCCCTCAAGGGTCAAGGGTTTGTTTCCATTTTCCAAAATCTATATCTTGACCATTAAGTAGATCATCTTAATCTTAATCCACGATCTTAATCAACAGCAACAAGGAAACCAGGATGGTTTTAATGGTCACAATTTACACGATGCTTTTTAATTGTTGTGATTGGTAAACATAATTGATCAATTAAATTGTCACATTAAAATTTATCAATCAAAACGATGACGATGATGAGAAGGGGAAAAATATACTCGAGGTCAGAAAGTGAAGATGCAAAAAAAACAAGGAAGAGAAAGAGTAAAATGAGATGATGATGATAGAAATTGGATTGATGACCATGGAAGATGAATTCTCAATCCTTTATCATCCTGATCATGAATAACCTCGTTTTCAATTAGATTCAAGGACTTAATCATTCACCAGAATCGAGGGAATAACAGAATCCAATTTTATTATTCTATCTCCTAATTGTCAGGATAATCTCAAGACTATCAATCTATTATTATCATTGACCTTATGGTATTTTCCCTGTTTAATTGTTGTCGAAATGATTGTTCAACAATTAAAGAGCGATGAAGAAAAAAAAAGAGAATAACATTTACTATTAACTGAAACAATCTACAGACAGGAATTAGTGAGAGTTAATTGTTGGAGGATAAGAATAGAAATTAAGAAAAAAAAATAATACAAGGATAATCAATAGAAGAAGGAAAAATAAAACGAAATTAGAAACGAATCCTTTTACCAATTTCGCATTTAGTATTTAATCATCGAGAATAATTAACTATGCTAATCATGATCGGTAACTTGGATTAATCCCAATTGTTTGGTGTAAATGAAATTGTTTCGCCCTAAATTGTTGTTAATCCAATCAAGTAAATCAAAAATTAACTAACAGATAAATTGATAATCTTGTTTTCTTGGTTACAGATTACAGACCAGAAAACATAAATTGACAAAAAAAAATTAGTGACAAGGATAAGTAGATGAGGAGAGAGAGAGATGATCAACTTAGAGTGGGAAATGATGATGATGATGATAAGAAAGAGTCACAATCATCACACTACATATAGATGATGAGGAAGATAATGAATGAAGATGATGTCCCATATGAAATTTGTATCAAAAAAGACAAGAAGTCATCTTGTATATATACATAAAGAAATAGAGCATTTCAAAGATGAGAATGATGAAGATGAAGAAGAGAAGAAGAGTATGGATGGGAAGACTAAACATTCTGATGATGATGAGGATGAAGATGAAGAAGAAGATGATGATAAGAGTCTAGTCGTGCTTAAAAATCAACATAGAATTTGAAATTTTCTTGGCAACCAGATTCCTGTCAGACTTTTCACTTTTTCCCTCCTTCATCCCTCTTCTCATCATATCTCTCCATCCTCATCCTCATCCTTACAACCATAGACTCTAAATGTATATATAAATACATATATAAATCTGTGTAAGAGAGACAGAGAGAGAGAGAGAGAGAAATTTATCTTCTTCCATCGTCTTCTCTTTCTTTTTCTGGATCAACAAGACAGAGGAAACTCAAACTATTCATTTTCATTGTTAGTTTGAAAAAAGAACAAAATTTCACCTTCTCATCCCCTCTAATCTCCATCATCATCATCATCCACCTCTCCCTAAATCAGAAACCATGTTTTTTCCGTCTCCCTCCCTCCCTATCTCACGATATTTAATATTATCATCATCATCATTAATAATAACATTTACTATTACAAAACCACAATAAAACCCTACGGCTAATATTGGTTAATTATGAGAAGAAAAAAAAATAATATTCGACCTTCAAAAAAAAAGAAAGAAAAAGAAATCGAATAGAAAAAGAAATGATTTTTATGATAATATTGAATTTCCTGTTATAATGATGATAAGAATTTATCTTCCAGGTAAAAAAGGTAATTAACTATTATAATAATATTCAGGTAATAACTGTAAGTTCAAATTAAAGGCAACAACAGTTAAGAAATAACAAGAAACGGTTAAGTTACATTGAAGATGTTGGAAACTTTTTTATTTTTGGTAATTGTTTCGAACCCTTTCAATTGATTTGTGCATTTCAAGTGATTAACTGATGATGAACAGACAAATTTTCTAAATTGTTTCATGCTAATCAGCTTAATTATCATCTATGGGATTAACTTGATTGTTGAAATTTGGAGCAAAGTTGAGAAACAGAATGTTAACTTTTAAATATTAGTTTCGTTTTAAAATTCTGATACCAATAATGACGATGATATAAATTTAGTTACTCATGAAGATGGAGATGAAGATTGTGATGATGATGATGATGATGATGATGATGATGATAATCAACAGATACACAAGATATTTGTTACAAGGCGTGATTGGTGCGTGTCAATGTAACCATCAACGCTTCAATTGGTTAATTTTTTAGGTCGATGATTGTTGTATACGTTTAAATGGTAACAATTTAACCAATAACACTTTTAACAACAACAATCATGATTAACAGTAGCAGTTAGTGATAAGTAAGCAACAATAATTAACAATCAAAAGTAATACAAGTCAAAGTTTGGCAATTTGTTGGGTAACAATTTACCAACTTTTCATTCAAATTTTCAGCTTTCAACTTTTTTTTTTGTTTCTCTTTTTTTTTCAATGAGCTTACAAATTCATTATTATTTCAATTTCATTCATTTTCATCACTAATTGTTATCGTATTTACTAATTTTTTTTTTCTGTTCAACTAACTCGTTTTTGTTTTAATGTATCTATCATCATAATCATCATTATCATGATGAAAACATTGGTTAGGTTACCATGTTAATCATCATCATTAACAACAAACAATAACAATCAAGCTTATTGTTTATTTTCATGTAATAAAAAAAAGTCATTTCTTGTCTTCCTTTTGTTTATCAAACAATTCATTATTTTCTGTATCCTCATCATCATCATCATCATCATCAACATCAACATCAACATCATCATCCGTTGACTCTGAATCCATAATGAAAAAAATATGAATCAAAAGTAACTGTTAATTGATGAGGATGAGGATGAGGATGCTTATAATGTTTATGATGACGAAATGTCAAAAATCAGGTAACATTAAGGTTTCCAAAGGACAGATTATACTTGACATTTGACCTAAATACCTTAATCATCATTGAAAAAGAAAGACTTAAATACTTTCTCTTTCTTATCATCTTCTTCATCATCTTGATCCTCATCTCTTGATATCACTTTTTGGTTGGCTCAATGTTTTCAGGAGGGAAAACTTAATAATAATAACGAAGTAAACTTGAAAAATTTTAATTGTTTCATTTGTTAATCATGATTATTAATCAAATCAACATTAATCTTTCTTGATTAATTATCATCACTTAAATCTTAATAACTTAGCAATTAGTTAAAAAAAAAAGTTGTTGATTAACTTTTACAATGTTACCTGTCAATTAGTTGATGATAAGTTAATTTGTCACATAAAAAAAAGTTTTCAATTTGATTAACATGATTAACTGATTACGATTAACGATTAACTAATTTAATTTTTCATTGAAAGAAAATTAAATTAATTAGAAACTAATATCATGTGATATTCATTGATTGAAAGAAGCAAAAAATTATCCTGATGATAATAATTAAACAAATCGTAAGTTATTAATAGCAATTAAGAGTTAATTGTTTAATCAACTAGTTGATCACAATTAAGTGTATATATTTAATTGTCAATTGAAAGTGTTGAACTGATAATGATAATTAAAAAGCTGATTAAACAATAATAAATAAATCACAAGATGATTAAAGATTGAAAAAAAAACTCTCAATGATAATTAACAATCAATTGGGATGAAAGAAAATCAAATTAAACTCAATGAAATTAAGTTTAATTAAAGTTACAATTAAAGGAAAATGATACGAAACAATCAGTCAAATCAAGAATGACAAATGATTTGTTAATTGTGACTAATTAACATCTAATTGGCAAAACAAATGATCTGGTTGGCGAAAGGTAAAAACTTAAATTGTCACAAAGAGAGTGAGAGAAACACAATTAAGTTAATTGTTGAGATTAAATCATTTTTTTCTGTTGATTGTTGCGAAAAAAAAACAAGGCTCATGATGAAGATGATGATTATCATCATGTTGATCATCTCGATCATCATTAATATCACTTTGATTACTCTCAATCATCAATTTGCGATCGTCAGCAATTAACTTTCAATTGAATGATTGGAAAACCTCCAATGATCATCATCTTAATCATCACAGTTAAGGAAACAGATGATTCAGTTGAATTGTCATCAAATTGATCAGAACTTTTGATTAGAAGAAAAAATTTTTTTTTCTTCGAATAAAAAAAACTCGATTAATTCAACTTTGATTTCTGATCAATTAAATCAATCAACGTTCAATTGCTTGAATTAAATGTATCAGTAGTAATTAAGTTATATAATTATTACAATTGACTCCATTAACTTGATCAATACAATTAAATCAATGTTTTCATTGTTAATCAACAATTAAATCAATTGTGATTCACAATTGTAAAAAAAAAGGAGTCGAGGTTAATCATTAGAGCTTTTTGTTCAACAATTAACCTGATCAATGAATATTTAATTGTAATTGAAAAATTGTTCTTATTGTGATTAACTTAATCTCCACATTATTACAATTAGCAAGTCTAATTGTAAACTGTTAGTTAATTATCATTTTGATTGTTACATTCAGTGGTAATTGAGGTTTTTCAACCTTTCTCTCTCCCTGGTAATTTAATTAACAATTAATCATGATGGTTAATAATTAATTAACATCCCAACCAGACAATAATAAACTAATTGTAACCCGTATTCTTAATCATTAAAGTATCATAACTGTGATTGAGACAGTTGATTAATCATTTCGTCCAATTAGTTGTCTTGATTGTGATAACATTAAATATTCACCAATGAATCAAGAAAACGCAAATTGTGAAACTGGATTAACAGTTTCAATTGCGAAAATGATTTAATTGATGAATTAAAATCTCAATGAGAGGAAAACATTTATCATCTTTTGTCTTCCTTTTGTAAATGTTAACCCATAGTTTGTAAACCACCACAAATGAGATGATGATGTTGGTGGTGGATGAAGGTGGGAGAAGATGAAATTAGCGATGATGATGATGGTTAAAATGACGATAAGTCTTGTTGTGGTTCCTCCTCATTAACTAGAGCAGACAGATATTCATTCATGTTAATGATGATGATAATGATTATTGGATGACAAGGGAAAAGTCATAAAAAGACCAGACAGATGATCAAGGATGAAGATAATGTTTACCTGTGTTTATTTGTGACGAATAAGAAAAGACAAGAATGTTAAGTAACAACAAAGAGATGATGATAAGATGGATAAAGAAAGAATGAAAAAAGATTGTGTGTGTGTGTGTGTGAGAGAGAGAGAGAGAGAGTAAAAAATCAGGAAAGAAAAAGATTTTCATGAAAAGGTTGATTAACTTCATCTTCATTCAGAATCACAACTAATCATGTTTAACATGCGTACATTAACAATAAGACTACAATCAGTTAATAATAATCATGGTTGTAAATATGATTTACCATAATGATGATGAACCACAGATCAAGATGATGAAGATAAGTGAGAGTAATAGAAACTAGAGAGAGAGAGAGAGAGAGTAAAAAGTTGATCTTACCCACGAATCATCAATCCATGGATTTACAACTTATCCTCGACTTTTTTTTTCATCTTCATCATCTTGTCTACAAGTCTCTCTCTCTCTTTCCTTCTCTTCCTGGTCTTATTTCCTCCTTATCATCATTTCTATCGTCATCATTTTTGTCTATCATCACTTTTTTTCCATCACATTTGAGAGAGAAAAAAAATTGAATCCATTTACCTGAAAAGGAAACAGTTAAAGTTAACCCGTTAAGGCCAACGACATTAGACTTAAAGTTAATCTACGTCATCATAATGATGAAGATAATCATCATTAGCATAACAATTGTTATCATCCATTGATGATATGACCACAATTTCGCAATCTTAAGCATCTTTCAGACAGCATCTCTCTCTCTCTGTCTGGGATAAAGATGATGAGAAACCAAATTGTCTAACCTTATATTGATGATGATGATAACTTTGAGTCGAATTTTTTTTTGTCTATTCTTTCAGCATCTTTTTATCTTCTTCTTCATCTTTCTCTCTCTTTTCTCAATGATTATTTTCCCTCTTCCTTTTGAAGAAACTGATGGGCAACCTGCCATCATCTTCATCTCTCCTCTTTGTCTCTCTATGGTTGAGGAGACATTTAAATTGTCCAAATAACTCAATTACAATCAACTTGATTCTGGTTTTGTCAGTCACTTTCAAGTCTCACATTTATATCTACAATTTATTAATACATATACATGTACTTACGTGGTTATCATCATCCTTATCATCATCGTCATCATTATCTTTATCGTTACCATTTAAACTTTACTTTTTTTTGGCGGGAATTCAACTTATACAGTAAAATATCATCACCATCATCATTGGTGTTAGATGACGAAAGGCAAGAAGAAAAAAAACTAAGATGGTTATGGTTACCTGAAGATGACCTGAGAAGAGAAAAAGAATTATAAAAAAGATTAGATGACAAGAGAGGGAGAGAGAGAGAGAGAGATGATAAAAAAGTGAGGAAGATGGAAAGAGAAAGAGAAAAAAAAACTAAATAGAAAAGTGCAAATTTAAGTTGCTACTCGAAGCGTTTATTGTGATTTTTTTCATCTAAATTCTCCTCCGCTCTTTCCCCGATATATTTATCATCTCATTCTTACCACCACCATCATCATCTCATATATCAATAATGAGTTGATGGATAAATATACCTGAAAAAAAAGGTAACATTAAAGGTATTCATTAGAATCAATGACTTTCCAATGATGGTGTTAATGGCGTTTTGTTTTCCTCTTGCTTTTGGCACTCAAAGTGCACGACGAAGTAACGAAGATGAGAGTTAACCAGGTTAAAAGAAGTTCATAAGAACAAAAAAAAAAGAGAACCGGATTAGTTGATTATCATTATGGTGGTGGAAGAAATGATGAATTTGTGTGATTGATGAATTATGTGTAAGGTTGTCTATCCCAAATGAAGACAGTTAATTGTGTTCAAGACAAATGAGATTTATCATTAAAAGTACTTTGGTGTAGTGATAGATGTTCCCAGTGAACTTGGTGTTAGTGGTGGTGGAAAGTTCACCGACAGATAAACAGGTAAAAGAGAAAGAGAATTAAAAAAAAAGGAGAGAATAGAAAAGATAAAAAAAACTCATTTTTTCTATTCTCTTTTCTCATCTGAACACTTTTCCGTTTCTCTCTCTCTCTCTTTAAATGTTGTTGTTTGTTATTCGTAATCATTAAACTAACTGGCGATGCATAATTAAACAGACACAATTCACATTTAATCCCAACAGGTAACGGAATAGAATGTTTCTTTTATCCTGATTATCCGGCAATCATGTTGAATTATTAACTTGGAATGGACCATGTTGATAGAATTTTCTTCTAATTCTTATTCTTTGCTTCCAATCAGGAAATCTGGAAAAGATAAATAGTAATAATGATCAATTGTTAATTCTGTGTTTAAACAAGTGATCATAATGATAGCGTTTAAAGCAAAAATACTTGACCATATATGATTATTATTATTATCGGGTTAATGCATTAATAATGTTGAGTTGTAAACAAAAACGATGTTGCTTGTTGCTTGTTGTTATTGTTCATTAATAATGAAGATGCTGATTGTTGTTTCAACAACAATGAAAGGGAAAAATTTGGTTTACTTTAGACCCTTTCAATTGTTGATTAACAATTCAGTCGGCAAATTGAATCTTTAATATGATTAGATTTATGGTCAACAACAAGCAACAAGCCTGAAAACAAACCCGAAAATAAGGCTAAAGGCTAATAAGTAAAAGGGAGGGAAAAAAGCACAATCCATTGGTAACATTCTTGGTGTTGGAGGAATAACAAAGGATGATGAGAGAGAGAGAGAGAGAGTGAACACCTCTAACATCCTCCATCGCCATCACCTCCTCCTCCTTCATCTTAATCATCAAGCTTTTCCTTTCACCAATTGAAGCTTCTTGAATCGCCTTCCTCCTCTCCACCCAATAACACAGATGATGATGATAAAAAAGATGATTTTCCTTTCGCATCTTAAATACTCTGGACCACCACCAATGAGAGTCCAGTTTTCAACAGCAATTAAAGAAAAAAAAGTAACATAATAAACGGAAAAAATTCAATAACAGGCAAAAAAAGCTACTCCATTTTCCGCTGCTGTTGTTGGAACAAAATCAAAAGAATTTTTGAAAGCGAGAAGAGAAAAAGGCTTGACCTTTAACCTCTCTCATTCATTCACTCATCTTCTGTTCACCTTTTGTCAAGAAAAAAAAAGAAGAGAAAAAAATAAGAAGATGATGATAATTATCATTCCAAAGAAAATATTCACAATTGTAAACAAAGAGAAAAAAAAATCAAGGTAAATATCCAAGGAGAGAAAAAAAAATTCCTCACTTACCTGGTAAAAGAAAAGAGGTAACAATAACCTCTTCCTAATCTCACTTGTCATCTTAATTACTAGATTAACCAACGTTCACCAGCAATTAATAGTAATCATCTAATTAATGAGAGAAAAATCACAAATCGTTTGGAAATAAACAATCAACAGACCGAAAGTGTTTTCCTTTGTCTCCTTAAGACCAACAACAAGTGCGAATTTATTTTTGGCGGTTAATTAGATTAGAGAAAATTTTTTATTCTTTTTGTTCAATTTTTCTGTTCTCTTCATCACCTAATCAAACATTCAATTTCTTTTCTTTATTTAATTCACAATTTCTCTTAATTAATTAATATATTTGTTCCAATTAATTGATTTTCCCCTGATAATCATTAATAATCTTCCTTTTCTCTTTGATTGTTTTTCTTTACCGCGACATCAGATGATCATCATTGGTTTTCCCTTCTTTGTTTTTGAAGGGTTCATGTGTTTTTTTTCTTGTTTACTGTTAATCAATTGATTAATTGATTATCTTACTACAATTGATTCTAAATTTTAATTAGTGCTTCTAATTATTGTTCTCCAGTTCCATCTTTTCCTGTCTCTCTGTTAGACCAATTGGTGTATGGAAATTTTAATTGTTTCTAATTATCTTTTGTCGCCCACTTTGGTTTGGTGTTAATCCTTTTTCCATGGTAATAAAATGTTGAGGATTAAAGGGTTTGGTTTTTTTTTCTTATTCTCTTTTTATTTTCTCTTACCGACTTTTAATCTAATCTATTTATCAAGCCTATTAATCGACCATGTTGATGACATAAGATGAGAGATGATCTTGGAAACTGAATCAAGTCAATTTTCGTTCCCTGGAATGATTAAAGTCCATTTGGTTGTGGTGACAAAAATCATCTCTTCACTTTCCCTTTGTTGATCCTTTTTTTTCCTGATTCTCATAGAATTTTTTTTCTTTTCTAATCTTTAATTGATACTAATCTAATTACCTACTTACAGATATCATCATCACCATCATCATAAACTTGAATCAACTCGATCTCTTTCTCTGTGTGTTACCTTTTTTTCCTCTTCTTCTTCACAACCATCACCATCTTCTTGGGCTGTTGCTGCTTCTCCTTTACAATTATCATCAATCATGCCTCAATCAGCTTTCTTCTTGATCATCAGTTTTTACCGATAAAAACCCCAAGCACAATCATCATCATTCCTGTTAATCATATGTCTATCGTTTCTAATTATATTGGTTTGCTATTTGGTGGTTACAGTTACAATACATGACAACGAAAGGCAATCAATTGTTTCATTTTCACTTTGGAATTTTTTTTTTCTTCACTCTCTAGATGATTTTATTTACTTCTTTTGGTTAATCGTGAATATAAACACAGCATAAGATAAACAAGCAACATACACACAATCAGAATGGAAATGGAAATAGTAATAATAATCCTTTTCTTCCTCCTTGGAGCTTTTTGTCACCGGAAATGTTGATCATTGAACAATTCATCAAGGACATGTGACATCATCATCATGGGAATCATACATTCAATGTCCTGATTACAACAATCAAAAGAAAGAGGGAAAAAAATCAAGAGATGAAAAAGCAACATTGAAAAAAAAATCACAACAACGACTTTAAATATAACAACCAAAATGAATTGATAGTTTGATGGCCTTTAATATCAATTATTGACTCTGATTGTTCACCAAGGTTGTACCCTAATCATAATAATTGTCAACTAAATTTCAATCACAATAGTTGATGATCGTTAACGATAATTATAAATTAAGATAATGGCTTATCAATATCCAGCTACAATTAATAATCTAAACGAGAGAAATACCTGATCACTGGGCCCTTGAGTGTTTATCACCGGAATCTTTTTTGCCTTTATTAATTATTATTTCCGTTATCATGATGATGATAATGATCAAAAGGAATGGAAAGAAAAAAAAGAATCTCATCCAAAATTTCAAACAACAACAACAACAACATATTGGAAGTAAAGAAAATGTATTAATCATTGGATGAGTCGATTACCTGAAGTAATTGTAATTGATTAAGAGCCATTCACAAGCAAGAAAAAAGAGGATGATGGTGATGAAGATGAGAAAGATTTAATGATAACCTAACAAGAGGATGAACATTAATTTCATTACGGTGTATTTGATTAAACATTAATACCCAATGTTAATTTCACAAGGAAACTGGAAAACCATCAATTCCAATGGTCAGAGATTGATGAATGAGCTTCTGAAAACTGGTAATGAAACATCAACAATGGGATAAATCAGGATGAATACCAGATGAGATTGAAAGTTGATGACCTTACAAATTAAAATGAGACCAAACTGGTGACCTCAACAACTACTCATTATAAAATGAGAAATTGATTGATATTATCATTTTACTCATTTCTATGTAGGCCTTGTGATACAACAATTACCGTATTAGGTAACCTACATTGAGATGAATAAAGGTAAGAATTACCTGGAAAAAGAGGTGAAAACTTTTAATAGAATTTGTATTTTTTTTCTCTCTCTCTCTCTCTTTTCTTACAGTAAACCTCATTTCTAATCGAAAATTTTTTTCCTCCTCTCTCTTTATCTTCTTATTAGTTCATCATTATCACCATGGATCAAAAATCATCATCATCTCCTTACGGATCATATCACAATCAAGATAATAATCATATTTGGATATAAAGAAGAAGAGAGGAAGATATTTATTATCTTCATTATGATCTTCTCATCAATCTGAAAGTCTATTCAATGTGTAAGGTGGCAGAAAGAAAATCAAAGAAGGATAAACAATATACTGTATATTTATATATCTATTGATACAATCAACTAAATCAACATCAACATCATCACAATCAACATAAACAAAAAACAACCAACCTTTTTCATTCAACTCATTATTCATTCATTCATTAATTTATTTCACCGGAAGTTGTGGTCTTAACTTAGCAAAAGAACAATTTAAGAAAAATTTAATGAATGAATGGATAACAATTATCATGTTGATTATAATAATAATAATAATAATAGTATTTGTAAAACTGACACCAACATGAAAAAAAGTCCAGGTAAACGTAAAATTTACAACTATCGTAGGTTGAATGAGTGAGTGAGTGAGTGAGAGAGAGAGAGAGAGAGAGAGAGAGAGAGAACAAGATGAAGAAGGAAAAAGATTGTAACGTTTAAACTTGTCAGCAATTTACGAGTAATTTAATTTTCATCAATGAATTAAAACCGTAAATTTTTTTATCCTCCTCATATTTTCATTCACTCAAATTCATTCATCTACTGATTGAGATGATGATGGTCGGATATTTGTAGGCGATTGTGAAACAAGACGTAAATCTGGTTTTCCAGTTAAACTAATCAACATTTAAATCAACTAATTATCTTTTAATTTCAACTATCAATCTGGTTTTAGTTTTTACAATTTATTACATGTTAATCTGACTCTAATTTTTTTTCCTCATGTTGTTGAACTGATTATGATAATGATGATGAAATTATCAGGATGATGATTAACTAAATCACTACAAAAAAATTTTCTGTTGATTTTAATCATCTCTCTCTCTCTCTCTCTCTCTCTTTCATTGTCATTAACAAATTATCATTTGATTATCATTTTCTGACTGTTGAAAATAAGCTTCCGGTGATGAGTTTATTTCCTTGAGGAATTGAATGAATCAATGAATGAAAAGAAGACAAAAACAAACGTTTACATGATCATAATGATCACAAGTAAATTGTTACAATAGACAAACTTTTGATGAGAAAAAAAAAGTTGATCAATTGAATGAATGATTGATTACGTTGACATTTACAATTAAAAAAGTCAGCAAATTTTTTAGCAATAGTTATTATTAATTACTGTTAATGTTTGATTATAATTAACAGCTTAATATAAATCAAGAGTCACCTTTAGGTTTTGAACACTTGATTATTTCATGTTTATATTAATGGGTTGGACTTGTAATCATCATGTTAATCGTAATGATTAACATCATTTCGTAATCATAATTATAATACAATATTAACCAATGTCATCTCATGTTAATTTAAACGCGTGTATGATTGACATTAGATTACCAACTCCCTTTGATTACAATTAAATTTTAATTTTCTCTTCTTATTTTCTAGAATTTAAAAGTTAACCAGAAACCTTTGGTTTTAATCAATTGGAAAAACAGAAATTACCTTTACCTGTCCAACGCCCAATAATTTAACATGAGTTGATTATTATAATTAACAATTAACCAGATCATCATACTAATCATCATCAAATTTGTTGCCACCAAAGACAAAAGTGAGAGAATTGAAAGAAAAAATTAAACAAAAGGATCAACAATTAACAAGAAAAGTATCATTTTAATATAATGACAAAATTATCAACGTGACAACAAGTTAATGATGATTGTTGTTGATTGTAATTGATAAACAATGTTACAATTGGTTTGGATGTTTAATATGATTACATTTATATCTAAATCAATTATAATTCAAGTGCAACAAACACACAACAATCAACAGAAATTAGGGAAAAAGTTATGACAACTTTTCGTATTATTTTAAATTGTATCCATTGTTTTGCCTATGAACAAATAACAAGCTGCAATTGAAGAGATTACATTATAATTCAATGGTAACTGAATAATGGAAACACTAAATTGTTTAGGAAAACCAGATTCTCTCCCTCAACAATCAACCATAATACCAGTAATCATAATGATAACAATTGTACAATTTGACGCAATCAACAATCAAACCACCACAATCAACCCCCACCAACCAAACAAGACAATGTTAATGAGAAACATTTTAATTGTTAGGGTTGATTGTTTGACTTTTTAAAAATACATAACACACAACAATTTACCTGTAAATTAGTTTTCTCTTATCGTTTAATCATCATGACAATTAGCTAATACACAATATTGATAATCAACAATCAAATATTATCCAACAAAATTACTCGTTAAAACTAATACATAAACCTAAACATTGACCTTTACTTTTAACCAATTTATACTTGTATTAATAGTTGTAATGATTAACTTTAATTTGTCACAATTAACTTTAAATAATATTACAATTTGATGAACTTTGATCGTTTGTAAAATCAATTGATCAATAATTGGATGACCTTTGTTGTTGTTGTTGTTGTTGGTCAATTGAAATAACTTTTCATTCATCTTGTTGAAACAAGTTTACAAAACTACAGTTTCTTGAATCTCATTGATTAATTTTTCTTGTTCAACTAATTTTTCTGGTTAAATAATATATTTATTTTTAAACTGGTTTTACTGATTGTTGATGAGATTTGACACTAATCATTAACCATCACCATTAAAATAGCAACAGTAAAACAACATGTAACAAGTATGATTACCTGTGAATTATTGGTAACATTGAGAAACTTGTAGAAAATAATTTCTGAATGTGATTAATTTTAATCAACAATTTAACTAATAACTTTCTTCCAGATGATGATAACTACCTTTTCTCTCTCTCTCTCTCTCATCATCATGTACTCTTCCTTTCTCATCATCATCATCATCATCTTGAGCTTCCTTAGTTAACCTTGAACATGTCAACAGAATATAAGAAACCATGGATAAGGCGAAAAAGCCAATGACCCAACCTTGAAAACTGCTTTTCCTGTTTCCACTCTCTCACTCTCTCCCTTTCTTTATCTTCTCTTTCTTTTTCATCTTTCTCTCTCTCTCTCACTTATCATCATTATCTTCAGTTTCTTCTTGTTTCTTACTTTTTTTTCTAAGTCTTAGAAAAAGTAAAAATTTCTTAGGATGAGTGAATGTAACTGATGAATCTCCACCACCACCACCTTCGTCTTCACACCGTCACCACATTGACCTCCGTTTCCACCGACACCACTATCGGTATCATCATCATCATCATCATCATGTGTTGGTTCCGCTTCCTTCATCATCTATTTCATCATCATTCTCATCATGATAATCACTTTCATTGTCATCAACAGAATCATAATCATATTGATCATCAATTATATTCTAATCATAAAGCAAATGTTAATAATTATCATCAATCAAATCATCGTATTTATTTTAGTGTATTAAGTATTATTATTTTTTTCTCATTCGTAATTGTTGCTAATTCAATGGTTGTGGTTGATATTACATCTTTTAATAGTGATACAATTAATAAACCAATTAGACCGATAACTTGTTCAGATGCCAAAGGTAATCAAGGGATTTGTATGTTCTCATTAGCGTGTAGACAATCAAAAGGTAAACCAATTGGTATTTGTAAGGATACAATTTATGCTGGAAGTTGCTGTCAACTTCCGGGTGATGAACCTAAACCATTTAATCAATTTAATAGTGTTAATATTAATCATAATCAAAATATTTATTCAACTAAATTGCCAACATTAGTAACAAAACAAACTATTGTTACTGTGATTCCTTCAACAACAACATCGAGACCAATAGTCCAAACATCAAGTCAACACACAACATCATCACCATCAACAACAACAATTATACAACCTAAACCTTTAGTCTTAACAACAATCAAATTAACAACCACCCAATCACCACTTTCATCACCAATATCAACAAATGAAACAACAACACGATCAACACTTAATTCAACGGTGATAACGACTCTTCCTAGTGTAAATATATCGACAATGACCACTCCGTCTCCATCTTCATCCTTATCAACATTGACCACAGCAACTACGACAACGACAACAACACCTACAACAATCCCAACAACTATTACCGAATCTTCATCAATAATATCATCACAATCTCCTTCAAGTTCAACGTTAACTACAACATCTAAACCATTGACAGTTACATCAACTGAATCTTCATCATCTACACAACTAACACAAAAAGTTGACCAACCATTAACCATATTAACACCTTCTAGTAATATTTCATACCCACCATCAACCGAATCACCTCCAGCACCACCAACAACAACTACCCAACCAACTACATCAACTGAAACAATAACAAACACCGAACCAATGACAACAATTATTTCTTCATCAACTTCATCTTCCTTTTCAACTGAAACCGTTACGGAAACAGTAATAGTAACAGAAACTCAATCACCATCACCATCACCATCACCACCACCATCATCATCATCTGCACCTCCATCTTCAGCTTCATCCCCAACACCAATACCAACCGTTTTCACTGATTTACTGAACAGTAATTCAATTTCCCTTTCAACAACAACATCAACCACAACCACAACTCCAACACCAACACCAACACCATCAGAATTACCTGTTACAATTGGTAACCTTTTGAACAAAGTAATGAATACCCAGAGACCTTATAACAACAAATTAGGTAACTGTTAAAATGACAGCTCACAACAATTTATTAATTTACTCCTCAAAGTGGAGGTTAATTACTTGAGCTAATTGTCACTAATTGTGAACATTTTTCTTCCGCTTGTCAGATTGTGGGGTTAGTCCGTTAAAGTCGATGGCTCGAGTTGTTGGAGGTCGAAATGCTCATTTCGGTGAATGGCCTTGGCAGGTAATTTGATTCACTTTTAACAATTAAATTGACTAATTAACTCGATTAATTATCTTAATCAACATACAATAAATTAACTTGATTACCCTGGTATTCAATCAAATATTAATCGTATTTGAACAAAATCAACCTCAGACTAAATTGTTACTAATATATAATTCATTTCCAAGATCAACAACAATTAGCAAATTACAATCAATGATCAAATTAACATTGAATTTTGATCAATAACAATCAATTGATAATTATTGTTTATTGATAAATTTTACTTTTTGCTTAATCATTGATCACTTTAGTTTAATTTGAATGGTTTTCATTGAAAATTTAATTCAAGTCAATTTAGTTGGTTAATTTAAAATTAATTAATCATTATCAAGTTGATTGTAGTTGATTAATTTCATCATGATTAACTTCCTGATTATAAATTTTGAGGTTCCTCTTTATTAATTGATCAATTTAATTTTGAATAATTAGCAATAAATTATCTTGATTCAATCTGATGTAATTAGTTAATTGTCACCTTTGTTTGGACAGTTAACAATTTAGGCGGGAAAACTTTTAACTCTCACAATTAACTGATTGTAAATGTTACAAACAATTGATTAAGTTTAATTAAATACAATACTGAGATTGATTGAGTAAAAAAAAATTTATAATATTAATGATTGTTATTGAATTAATTGTAAGTTAATTATAAGCAATATGTTAATTATTATTACTAAATCAACTGTTAGTTTAATTGTTTGATCAATAATAATGGGAAATTACCGTTTAAATTGACCTACTTAGTAAATTAATTGTTTTGAATTAAATGTTAGTGATAGGAAATTGATTGATCAAGGATATGGTCTATCAGAATCAATCAATTGAACAACATTAAACAACAACAATTAACTTAATCATGTTATTAAAATTTTAATTGACCACAAGGTTTTAATCAAAGAGGCAACTTGGCTTGGCCTATGGATGAAAACCAAGTGTGGTGGAGTCTTAATTGACCACCGGTGGGTTTTAACAGCAGCACATTGTCAACCAGGGTAAGTGATTAATAAGAAATTAATTGTAAATTAGCAAAGAAAAAACTTTAATTGTTCCAATTAAACAGTTTAAAACAATCAGCAATTGTCACCAAGAACAACAACAACAACAACAACAATCAAAAAGTATTGAACCAAAAACCGCAGCAAATTAAATTAAAAAATCAACTCATATAACAACAATCAACTAACAATTAACCAACTCACACTCACTCTAAATTAAAAATGATCAACAAGTAAAGTAAAGTAAAAAAAAATTAAGTAGGACAATTAACAGTTTACATTATGATTAATATCTTGAAGTGGTGAAAGTGAATCAACAGTTAGGGATTGAACAAAAATTAGTGCCAATTATCAATTATTATTGATTGTAATCATTAACTCATTGATAATAATGATGATATAACAATAGTCTGTTGTACATAACAATCAAAAGTAATTATTGAATTATAATCATGATCAGAATGAGGAAATTGAGATTTTCTTTCAATTATATAATAAGAAAATTGGAACACGATTTTTAAATCGTGAATTGTAATCAACCATTTAAACTGAATTAATATAATATTTTTTTTTTTAGGGTAAACTGATTGGTTACTAAATCGTAAATTGTTGTTAACTTGATTCTTGATCTTAATTATGGATTATGATTTTACTTTAAAACTTTAATTTTCTTTTCTCAAACTGATTATTATTATTATTATGATTTTTCTGTGAATCAATTTTCTTGTTCATGTTTCATGATCCAGTTTCTGGGGATCGCTATTGGTTGTTGTCGGTGAATATGACCTGACCGGAGATGTTGAAAATCTGAAGCCAATTCAGAAGCCGGTTAAACGAATGATAGTCCATCGAAATTACAATCCGTCCACTTTTGAAAACGATATCGCTCTCATGGAATTGGAATCGCCGTTTGATGTTCAACCTCATGTGGTTCCAATTTGTTTACCTGAACCAGGGGAAGATTTTGTTGGTCAAGTAGCTCATGTTGCCGGTTGGGGTAAACTAAGTTATGGTCAGTTGAGGAAGAGAACGAACAAAAAAAAAATGAAATGAATAAACTTCTAATTATGGATAATGATAAAATAATGTTGTCTCTTTTTCTCTCGGACTTTAGGTGGACCAATACCTTCAATCTTACAAGTGGTCAAACTACCGATTCTAGCTAATGATAAGTGCCAAGAAATGTTTGATGCCGCAGGGCATGATAAGGAGATAAAATCAACCTTCTTATGTGCAGGTTACACCGATGGTGGTAAAGATTCATGTGAAGGTGATTCAGGTGGACCATTGATGGTCAAACGTGCCAATGGTCATTGGGTATTAGTTGGAACCGTTTCCCATGGGATAAAATGTGCCGAACCCAATTTACCGGGTGTATATATGAAAACCGCTGCCTACCGTTTATGGATCGATAATATAATTAACCGAACCAAGAAAAACAATAATCTAAATCAATCTGGAATCACCTCCAACAATCAAAACAATAATAATAGTGCAAATAACAATAATAATAAAAGTAAAACATAATATAATTAACTTACTACCCAATAATTTGATTGGTAATCAATTTATAATTGTTGAAAACAATCAAATTGATTTTGTTATAAGCAATTAAATTGCTTCATGTTAAATATTTGGTAGTTTATATTAATGAAAATCGTAAGAAAAAAAAAACAAGACAAACTTTTTTTTTTACTATTACAACTACACCTTCATTCATCATCTTTTATCTTACTTATCATCATAATTTATCATCTTGATTATTATCTGTTATGATGACCTTTTCCATCTCACTCTCACTCTCTCACTCTCTCATACTTATCATCTTCTTGTCTTCATCATCATCATCATCATCATTATTGAGTCTTGTTAGTTAAACTTGACAGTTGAGGTTACAAGGATATAATCAACTAACTACAATTTCAATGACAGACTCATGTACAATTTAATTACCATAAGTATATATAACTCGTTACGAATGTAAATGTGCTAATGTTTCAACTGATGAAATGCTAATTGTTGCCATCCCTAATCATTATCATCATCATCATCATCATCACAATAAATCATCAATCAACTTGCTTGTCGTCTTATCCTGTCCTTAGTTGATTGTTGGATCTTTTTTTTTTTGGTTAATCTTATTTTGTTTGTTTCCTTTTGTGCTTGGGAAACTGAATTACAATTACAATTACAATTAACAATTAAATGTAGTGTATATATTTATATGTCTCTCTATCTTGATTGTTTATCATTAAACAATCACCTTAATTGTAATTAAAGGTTTTGAGAAAAAAAAATTACCATAAACTTGTTTATATTTGTTGTTACAATCTAAAATCAGTGTATATATTTAGTTAGTTAATTTTTCTTTACTTATTATCAGTTGATTGTTTGATATGATATATATTTTTCATTGTCTGGTAGTTAATTGTTATCAGTTTGTTATCGTTGCTATTATTACGTTGGGTTATTTAAACAAGGTTGATTTTTTTTACTCCAAAGATTTAATTACAATTTATAAATTGTCCTTGAAAGTTTGTTTGTTTTTCACCTCAAATCAAATCGAGAAGCAAAAAACCCAAAACATGATTAACAATAAAAAGTTAACAACGATAACAATTAACATCAATTTCCAATACATATAATTACCGAGGAAACTATTATAAAATTATCATAAAATCATCATGATGATGGAAACAGAATCGATCAATGAACTTGAAGATGATGAAGAGAGAGAGAGAGAGAGGAAATCAATCTGATGAAGATTGAAAGATGATGAGAAATCGTTGATGTCAGAGAAAAAAGGAGGACACAATAAGGATGAATGAAGATGATGAAAGAGAGAGAGAGAGATAAATACAAACAATCATCCCAATGGACTATCATCATTATCGTCATCCTGATCATCTTTATCATCATCATGAAGATTGACATAAACCTTTTGCAAGATCGTTGATATCATTTCAAGTGAATCAGTGAAGCGATGGATCCAGACAAAGGGAAGAGCGGATAAAGAGGAGGATAAGGTGGGAAGGATGATAAAAAAAGATGAAGAAGACAAAGATGATGATGAACAAAAAAAGGTTGAGTGAGAAAGTTGCTCAGTCATTTGTAGCGAAAAGTAAAAAAAAAAGTGAATTCTAAATCAAAACATGAACATGTGAAAAAATGGCGGGAAATGCTAGAGTTAATACTAAGTAACTTTTGGTGGTAAAAACCTTGATGATGATGATAATGATGGAGGCCATTGAATCTGGAATTTTTTTTTCTCTCCAACAATTATCATGATTATTATCAGAATACCTTGATTACCAAAGTTAATAATAATCATGATTTAATGAACTCACCCTAAATCACTTGTCTAATAATCTTGATTGACTGTTATTGTTATTGATTGAAAAAAAAACACATCAAATTAGTTGAAAAAATTTATTCTCATCTCCACCTTAATTTAATTGTTACTGTTGATCATTTATCTGTATGTTAATCAGTTATCATCAGCAATCATCATCATCATAATTAGTTTCAATGTTACATTACAAGTATTATCAAGATTCTCATTAAAATAATAATATAAACAATTACAAAGATGATAATTATAATTGTAATTTCGAGAAACTTTTTTTTTTATTTGAAACATTGTTTTCATTTTAAGTGTTAATTGTGATTAATTTAAATGATAATTGAGGTATTTGCGTAGTTAACAATTAATTGACAATCTTTTGTCAAAAAGTATTAAGTATAATCATAATTTAAAGATGATTTATTCAATTTATTTAAATTGTTTTTCCTTGAGTTTATCATGATCATGATAATGACCAATTCTGATTGGTGATTCATTCATCTTCATGTACTTGCATGGTTTTCATGTAATTTCACATCTCATCATCATCTTATCTTCATCATCTCGTCATTTCAACTCTGGTTTTCTTAAAGTGCGATTTGTTGTCACTATTTAGCCGATAACAAGGTAGACATATACAATAGAAATTGCAACTTACCTGTTGAAAAAAGGTAAATAAGATGAAGTGGAAAAGAGGATGAAGAAGAAAAAGATGAAAATATTTGTGAATGAATAGTAAGAGCTCGTTGCCCTTTTCTTCTCAGTTGGAGTTTTCTTTCTTCTACCCTCATCATCATCATCTTCTTCTTCTTCTTCTTCTTCTTCTTCTTCTACTCCTCCTTCTCTTTCTTTTTTTCTTTCTTTTCTAATACTCATAATACCATTTTGAGAGAGAGAAAAATTCTCCTACCTGATCTTTCATTAAGAATAAACTTTTATTTTCGCGCGAAAAACTTGATTCTTCAACTTCTCTCTCTCTCTCTTTCTTTAAGTCTCATCATCATTCATCATTTTTTTTCTTCAACTTTTGGCGGGCTTATGATGATGAAAATTATGATCATCATGATGATACAACTTCCACAGCTACTTTATCATCCATTTTCAAGGTTTAGATTATTTAATCACGTGAATTACCACAAAAATAAAGGGTAACTCATATTTCAAGAGAGAGAGAGAGAGAGAGATGATGATGATGATGATGATGATAATAAAGGATGTTGAGTCCCACCTTACTACAAGAAGGATGAGAGGCTGATCTTGTAATAAAAATGCTTTCATCTTCTTTCTTTCCTTTCGCAAAAAAGTCGCAGTTACCTGTTAAAAGAAAATCTCTCAAGTTTACCTTTCATCTTCTTTAATCATCCTTTTCATCTTCTCTCTCCAATTCTTGTCACCTCTTTCCTCCTCTTTCTAACCATTTCGCTCCCTCTTTCTGTCTACCTTGAGGCTATAAAACCCATTCTATGTAATAAATAAGAATAGAAAGAGAATATTTCGAAGGAAAAGAAAAAGAAAAGAGAAAAATTCTTCTTGGACATTCTCTAAATTCCTTTAATCATTAAAAGGTCAAGCAAAAGATGAAAGAAACAAGAAAAATTTTAACCGCCATTTTTTTCGCGCCAAAACTTTTTTTCGACACCAAAACAAACCAAAATAGAGAGAAAGAGAGAGAGAGAGAAATAACTTTCCACTAATCATCATCAGCAGCCATTAATCACTAAACAACAATTAAGCGAAAACAACTAAACTCGTGAACCAAATTAACACCTAAAACCAATTAACCTTATAAACAATTAAAGTCTCCAACTAAACAACCATTATGACCAAACAAAAGTTAAATTGATATATTTAAATAACTTTAACAATGGTAATTGGTATAAACATGATTAATTTAATTGTACAATTTAACCTAATCACATTTACCATCACAATCATCATGATATATAAACAAAATGAGCCCCAATCAATGATGCAACCCAAAAGTATATATCATTAATATTACAGGTAAGAAATTTTTTCCCATAACATTGCAAACATAATAAAAATACCAAAGGTAGTAATATAATAACAATAATAATAATAATAATGATGATGATGATGATTATGATGATAACATGAAATAACAACAGTAGACATTGATGATGAAAAGAAAGGTAAGAAACAAGGTGGAAATCAAGTTACTCAGACTCAGACAGGTAAGAAAAAAAAGCGAGGGAACCGAAAGGTAAGAAAAGAAAGAGAAAAAGAGAGATGGAAAAGTTTTGAGGGCACCAACCCGAAAAAAAGAAAGAGAGAAAGAGAAAGAGAATGATGATGAAGATGATGGAGAGAGTAAGAGAGAAAGAAAGAAAAAGGTACAGGTAAGTACAAAAGCTTCAGAAGCAGAAGCAAAGTTTTCAATGCTCAGAAGCTACTCCAATATTATGTATTGAAGAGCAAGAAAAAAAAACGAATCCAACATCGGCCAATGGCCTCAGATTTCAAGCGATATAATAGTTTTGCTGTAGATGGATGAACACAGGTAAGCACACACACACAAATATCTCTATATTTATACACACAGGTAACCAGGTAAGAAGAAAAGAGAACAAAAAAAAACTTCAGAACTTTAGAACAGACAAAAAAAAGTTTTTTCTTTTTTTTTTCTCTATGGATTCTTGGAGCTTTTTTCTTTCACTTTTTTTCAAGGTCACTTAAAGTTCCTCTCGCACTTTCCCTCTCTTTTTCATCCATCATCATCTTCATCATCCACCTCCACCTTCACCTCCTCTTCTTCTCATCATCATCTTTCCTTTTACAGAAAATCTTAAGTGTCAATGAGATTTTGGTTCCTTTGATTGTTGGCGCAATTAAGACAAAAAAAAGGTGATACAAGTTTAACTTTAAATTTCTCAATGAGAGTCAATTAGTTTTAATTATTAGTAGTAATTGGCCTAGACAGTGAGACAATTATGTTAACTTTTCATTGAGAAGTTTAATTTTTTCACTTTCTTTAATCAGTTTTTTTTAATTGTTTTCTAATCGATATTTAAAAATCACATGATTTAAAGGTAAATGGTTTTTTCCCTGCAAATTAATTGACAACAATTGTAAACAATTGAAGAGGAAAACAATTTATTAATTTACCTTTAGTCCATACAATTAGACAGCAAAAGAAAAACGGTAAAAAAAATTAGTTAATTGTCCTTGACAATTTAAATTCAATCAAATTGTTTGATATTGAATCTTAATCGTTGTGATATTGACGTTAGGACTTTACTATCAACCCCAACGTTTAATAATAAATTTTTTATTCTACATAATTGAGTTAATTGTTGTCTAACAACAATTTAAGTACCTTAATCGTTTTGACAAGTTGACAAATTATCATCATAATCATTAATCAATTTTATAAATCGAAATGGTTTCTTGTAAACTAATTAGAACAACAGAAAAAAAAACTTTTTCTCTTCTATTACTTTTCGACCTGTCAGTTTATACTAATGATGATGATTAGTTTAATTATCGTTAAAAGTATTTTAAACAATTAAAGGTAAACTTTTTCTAGATTAATTCTTTAATCATTAATCATTGTAGTTGTTAAATCAACAACAATTATTTCATTTCGTCATAGAATCGTTGTAACGATAATCGTTGTAAAAGATTATCAAGTTAGAGAGGAAGAAGAAGAAAAAAAAAGTTCTAATCGTCAATCGAACTTTTAATTTTCTCTTCCTTTTAAATTTCTCTTCTTTTTGATTACTTTTTGAGGGCCACAATTAACACGTAATAATCATTATAACCATCAAGATAATCATGATAATCATTTAGGAATCACCTTCTCATAAGTTGAATACTTGAAGCATTATGATGATGGTGATAATTAGCTAAATGTGAATTGGTGTCTGGATAAATTGAGATTAATTTGATATGATCAAAATTAAATTACTCTATTGACCTTAACATCAATTCCTGTTGTTTAATATTAAATTTTCATCTCTATCATCATGTTAGCTCATTTAAAACCTTAGGGATAACATGATGATTATCATGATAATAATTATCATCCATGAGAATCATTTTAATCAATGTGTTTACCTGTTAATCTGATTCATGTTAAAATGTAACAATGATTATGATGGTGATTAAAAATGTGTAGGATTCAATAAGATAGCCCATCGATGACCACACCTTTA